CCAGACTTGTAGATTCTACTTGTGATGTAGCAACATTTGCTTCTAAACTTGTAGATTTATTTCTCATTTATCCATACTTCTTCATTTAGTTCAACCTCATTCTCAGTAAGAGAGAACTAAACAAGACATCATATGTCCAAGAAGTAGTAATGTGCTAAATCAATTTCTATAATATACTTCTTAAATTGGAACATTTCCATTCTTTTACCTTCCAACTATATGAGGTAGTTTCTAATCAATTGGAATTGGTCCATTTAATTTGAAACAATTGTTGTTCATTAAAAAAATTTATAGCATGTAAGTAGTTCTAGGTTTGAGAAGTAGCAACTTGTTTACATTTCTTGGCCTATAACTTCTTAATGCAATCCTCATATATTCCAAAACCTTTCCCACTTGAACCACTTAGAACACTTCTCTTAGGTTCAAAATGATGATTTGCTTAACTACTTTAAGCACATTTCATGATTTTTCTAAGTCTTATTCAATCATTATTCATACTAGAGTTTAATCAACTATTAACTCTATATGAAATGGTTGAAGAATAATGCCATTTTATCAACTTTTGATCATAAAAACTTCCAATCACTTTCTTATATTCAATCATATTGAGGATAAGAGATTTTATTGGACTTCTATACTTGTCTTTTAGAGGATTTGTACCTCCCATCTCATTATATCCATTGAAACACTTTTCAAAATGAAGATTTGTTGGCCTTTTGCTCAAACATTTTGAATAACCAACCTTAGACATGTGACATCAGTTTCTAAAACGTGCCTTTTAGAACCATTTTAGCAAATATTGGAATATAGGTTTATGGATTATCTTTTAACCTTTTGAGAACGTTTCTCAACTTTATTTTCAATCAAGGAGATTATATATAATAATAAAATTAGAAAGACATGTTACTTAAAAGTAAACGCAAAATTCAATTATGTTTAATAAAAATTTAAAGTGCCATAAGCGAATTAAATTGGTAACTTTAAAGCATTTATTCAATTTTAATTGATCCCTATTAAATAAAATGATTCCAATATCCTTTATTTGTGCAATGATTGACCGAACTTTGGCCCTACCATCAACCATTATATTTTCAAGGTGAGTAAACTCTTTACTGATTACAACTCTTTGTAATTCTTGGTTGAATAATTAATCATCACAAGTTTAATTATTACCCTTAGCTTCAAGGTTCTAAACTCTTTAGGTAACCTTGTTGAGTATAACCAATCAAAAGTGTAAAATTTCTTTTACCCCCACTCCCCTAAAATATAATATGACACCCTGCTTTGGCATGACCATCATAAATATCGAAGGTTTCATCGGGTTTTTGATTTGAAAAGCTACCTCAATATTACCGGGACCTAGATTTATTATGTTGTGATTGTTTAGTGAATTCTAGCGCATCATCACAAAATATCAATAAAATCTAACATGCATAAAATACTGAATGCATAAACAAGACATAGCATGGCCCCTAATTCTAAGAAAACTAATAAAGTAAATGCTCCCACTTGAATCATCATGGATCTCATCCACCTTGCTCCTTTGGGCCTTCACTTCATGGGCTTCTTGAATTAACTGCAACCTATAATTTTACTCTATTGTATCTACTACTTAAATAAAGTGAAATAAAATTATAAAAATACTTTATCGGTACATAGACCGTATTAAGATTACAAAAATACATCACGATGCGCAGATCGTATTTAGCAATCTGCTGGGCCATACTAATCATTATATAGCAATAAACAACATCATATATTATAAAATTGCCACATAATAAATCACTCATCATGCTTTCCTAAACTACAACATCGAATGATCCTAATCAAGGAAACATGGCACCAAAATATCTCATATTTTAATTAATGTAATTAGATAATATCAAATATAATTCATGATCATCAATAAAATATCATATATTCTAAATTAATCATGAGATAGAATCAAATCTTATTTTAATCTAAAAAAGATAAATCATATTTATCCTCAAAGATTATCCTAACAAAGTTAGGAAATTCTATCCTAATTACTAGCCAATCACAAAATTTTAAATCAATTATATCCAAAATTAATTATGGGATAATCACATTATTTAAATCAATCATTATCCTTTTGGAATATGCTATGAATATCCTAATCAATCTTATCCAAAATTAACCACTTTAATTAGGATAATTACCAATTTAACAACTTTAAATATGGATAATATCAAATATAACAACTTTTAAAAGATTTTATTTTATCCTAAAATAAAAGATTTTATCCAAAAAAAACCGAATTTATCTTTCAAAATAAAAGATCATATTTTCAAAATATTTTATCTCATCCAAAATAAATCATAATTATCTTGAAATTTTTTTAAAATAAAATAAGTTTTTTTTTTGAAAAAAAAACGTGCACCAGCCACCGTGGTGTGGCCAGCTGAAGCCAGTCACGGTGGTCGTACACCGTAAGGTGTACACTGCACTGCAGCGGTGCACATCAGCAGTAGTGTCGCGCAACCCTTGCACGGTGCTGCTGTTGTTGCCTTTGCTGACCCATCCTCCTGCCCCACCCCGCCCCTCCCTCCGGACCACCTGCAGCGGCAGCCGTCGTGGCTGCGCCACCCAGCCGTGGTTGCCGCTGCTAAAAACCCTTTTTGATTTAATTTAAATAAAACAAAACATATTTTGCAAAATTAAATTAATGCTAATGTGGTCCAATTAATTTCAAAATTAAATCACATTCAATCTTGAAATTAGTGTTCTTCATGAAGTTAATCCCTAATGTAATTTTGATACTTAAATTAAATAATTTGATCATGAAAAATTCATAATTTATCATGAAATCAATTAGATTAAATTCTTTATTTACAGAGTAAACGAATTAAATCAAAACCAAAACACAAAATTTTAAAATTAGGGTTTAGGGTTTTGAAATTTTCGAAAAAATAGGGTGGGGGTTTCGAAATTTTCGAGTGATTAGGGGCAAAATTCGGATCTCTTCATGGCTATTTTGAGCATAATTAAATAACATTTATTCAATTCAAAATTTTAAATCACATTTAATATAATAATTGACCCATAATTAAATTATGCTCCCTCCTAATTGAATTAAAATTGTGGACTATCAAAGAATTATAGTCAATATGCGTAAATACAACAGGCTAACTGATACCACTGATGGGAAATGTAGGTACTACGCAGCGGAAAAACATGAATCATAGTCATACAATACCTAATCCCAAGATCTAATGCATAACACATAAAGAACATATAATCGTATCTTTGAAGCGTGATTCCACTTGCGAACGAGCAAGAACAATGGGATATAAGGAACCCCACGTGTGATTCCTCTACTTAGTCCACGAGCACGGATTAAACCTCCACTAATGCTACTTAGTTGTGACCAAACACTTCAATCAACCTTCAACAGGGATTTGAGCCACGAACACACCACAACACCACCCACGCGCCACCACACGCGCCACCCGGGGAGGAGGGCCGTAAGGACAGGGAGGAGAGAGAGAGGGCCGAGTAGAGAGAGAGAGTTAGGGTTTTGGGAAATTGGTTGCTTGTGTGACAATTCTCTGTATGTCAATTGTTGTCTCTTGCAACCCTAGGCATGGTTTATATTTATAGATCATATTTACAAATAAAACCATGTCAAGTCCAAAACCCATTAGATTCTTCTAACTATCCAAGCCCAATTATCAATATGGTATGTCATGAACTCACGAGGCCCAATAATGGACCTCTAACTTGTTTAACCCAATACTCTTATGTGTGACCTTGTAGGATCCATTCTATAAGGTTTTGGGCCATTAAGCTAGCCCAAAGATCAATTGTCATATCTAGCACCAAACTTTGACGACCCTATAGAATGAACTAATTATCTTCATAATCGTGATCCTTGATATATCAAGTAATTGTACTTATCGAAGACATAACTCCTTCAGAATAGCCATCAAGGAAGCAATAGAACTTGTTCCCTTGTTAGTCTCTCTAACATTTGATCAATGAATGGAAGGGGAAAGTGATCCTTTTTGGTGAATGTATTTAGACTTCTATAGTCTATACATATCCTCCAACCGGTGACCGTCCTAGTTGGAATGAGCTCACCTCTCTCATTCTTGACTACGGTCATACCCCCCTTCTTAGGAACGACATGAACGGGAGAGACCCACCTAGAGCTTGAGATGGGAAATATGATTCCCGCATCCAAAAGCTTGGTGATCTCTTTTTTCACCACCTCTCCCATTTGAGGATGTATCTTTCTTTGTCGTTCAATAGAAGGAAGGGTGCCTTCCTCAAGCGTTATGTGGTGTGTACACAAAGCGGGGCTTATACCCTTAAGATCATCAATAGTATAGCCCAAAGCACCTTGGTGCTTTCTCTAGACACAACATAACGCTTGAGCTTGTCTTTCACTCAAGGATGCACTAACAATTACGGGTTAAGTGGAATTTGGGCCTAAGAATTCATACCTAATGTGTGATGGTAGAGTTTTGAGCTCTACCATAGGCACACCTTTACCTTCTTTTGTTGCGGCCACTTGAAAAGCTTATTGGCTTGAGATCTTCAAGCACATTTGTTCATCCACTTCCTCCATGCTTCCATTAAGCAATTCCTCATATAATGCCATCTCCTTGCATGGTGCACCTAGATTATCTTTGTTCAACAAAGCATTCTCAAGAGCATCGTTAGAGGTGAGAAAGTGCTCATGCATGGAAGATACAACATGATCAAGAGAGTCAATCATCATGCAATTTTCTAGAGAAGAACTTGGATATTTCATGCTTTCATTCAAATCGAATTCTATGACCTCATCTCCTACCTTAAGCGAAATCTTTGCACTCTTGACATCTATCATAGCACCGAGGTAGCAAGAAAAAGTCTACCTAGATGAGTAATATCAAGGTTGAAGAATAGAGGTTTGACTTTCGTTGACTTTCTCTCTTCTCTCTCTTCTTCATGGTTCTTCATTTTTGATTGGTTTTCTTCATCAAATCTGGATTTCAATGGCGAAGAAGAAGAAGAAAGCTATTTCTACACCTCAAATTGTGCAACAAAAGGCTGCTCATGAAGTTGTTGGCTCGGTTTTGAAGAATTTGGGGATTTCAAATACCCCTTTTGTTCCTAGCCCAACTCAAGAGGGGGATGAACTACTTACTCCGGCGCCGACTGTAGTTCAGTCAGCTGGTGGTGCTATTTCCGGCATTCCTGTGGATGTTGAAGCTACTTCAGTTGCTAAAGCTTCTGCCAAATCGAAGCAATCCAATGGAACAGTACCTAGGGTTTCGGGGGTTACTGTTCCATTGGATGCTGGTGGATCTGGGCTTGGTGGTGCAACAGGACATGTTGTATTTCCTTCCTCAACCTCTCTGGAGCATATTGCGCATGACATTAATGAAGATCGAGCTGCTCCTCTTTCTGCCTTGGAGCTGAGCTCGCGCGATTCTTCTGAAAACCGTGCTGCTTCCCCTATTCTGGAGCAGAAGGGGACTCGTGCTTCATCTTTTGCTGAGAAATTGGCTGCTAAAGGAGCTACACTATCCTTTATTGCTCCGAAAGTGCAAGATGGGAAGCTAATTGCTGAGCTACAAGCAGCCGAGCTTGAGGAAGGTAATCGAAAATGGGCTAATGCTCTTGTTTTTTATGTGGTTGGCTTTTATCCTACTATTGATGTTGTTCTTCGTTTCTTTGCTCAACAATGGAATGATATGCAAAAACCAGATGTGTATTGGCATGATGATGGGTACTTTATTATCAATATGTGTTCTAGTGATGATAGAGATACTATTCTTTGTTCTGGTCCTCATATGTTCTTTGGAAAGCCTGCAATAGTGAAGCCTTGGTGCCCTGATTTTGATTTTCATGCTGAAATACTTAGAACTATTCCTCTTTGGGTTAAATTCCCTAATCTTCCACTTAATTGTTGGGGATCTCACACTCTTAGCCGCCTTGGTAGTTTGCTTGGAGTGCCAATTTGTGCTGATGAGTGTACTACTAGACAGCTTAGAGTGTCTTTTGCTAGGGTTCTAATTGAAATTGATGTTACAAAGCCTTTACCATCCTCTGTGTGGGTTGAGAGTCCTTTGAAGGAATTATTGGAGATCAGGATGGTGTATGAGTGGGCTCCTTCTTTTTGCTCTAAGTGTAACAAGATTGGTCATGATTGCTCTGTTAAGCCTCCTTTTCCTAAGCAGGCTTCTAAGCAACCGGCTCCTATTCCTCCTAAGCAAAAGCAAGTTTGGGCTCCTAAGCCTACCCATGATCCTGCTCCTTCTGTTGCTGTTGATGTTGGGGTTTCTGTTCATTGTCAATCTATTATTACTCCACAGGTTCATACAACTAAGAATTCAGATGAGGGTTGGAGAATAGTAGGGAGGAAAACAAAAAGCCAGCAAACTAGAGTTCATCCTGCAAGGAGGTTACTTCACTCTCATTCAGTTGATGTTGTTGGTTTGCTTGAAACAAAAATCAAGTTGAAAAATGTTCTCACTTATCAGAAGAAGTTTGGCTCTTCTTGGCTCTGGTTGTGTAATTATGATCATTCTCCCAAAGGGAGGATTTGGCTTGGTTGGAATGTGGATAGAGTAACTGTTAATGTCTTGAAGATTCATGAACAGTTCATTCAATGTACTGTTTCTTCTAAGGATCTCTCTACTCAGATTTTTCTCACTGTTGTCTATGGTCTTCACTCCATTCATGATAGGCTTTCTTTATGGGAGGGGCTCAGAAGCATTTCTATACAGCATTCTCCTTGGCTTTGTGTTGGTGATTATAACTCTATTCTTCATACTTCTGATAGGCTTCATGGTGTTGATGTTACTGATTATGAGACTAGAGACTTTCAGAATTTGGTTGATGATTTGGACCTCACTGAGCTCAAAAGAAAAGGGTCCTTCTACTCTTGGTCTAATAAGGCTCATACTGGCCTTAGAACGCTCTCTAGACTTGATAGAGCCTTTGGTAATCAAGCTTGGTTAGCTTCTCATGGGCATGTGGAGACTGTTTATCTCCCTCCTTCTTTATCTGATCATAGTCCTGTTTTTCTGGATACTTTCTCTGGCCCTGTGGGGAAAGGTAGACCTTTCCGATTTCTAAACTATATTGCGGATCACCCTGATTTTCTTGATACTGTTTCGCAGGCTTGGGGCTCTGGTAATTCTGTTTGGCAGAAGCTCAATTCTGTAAAGTCTAGTATCAAATCTCTTACTAGCAAGCAGTTTGGAAACATTGAGGAAAAGATTGACCAGGCTAATGATGAGCTTTCTAGAATTCAAACCTTAATGGCTCAGAACCCTGATGATTTGGATTTATATGCTAAAGAATCTGATGCTATTAAGGTTGTTAAGCATTGGAATGATATTCAGGAAAGCATCTTCAAGCAAAAATCTAGGATTAATTGGGTTAAGCTTGGAGATGGCAATTCCCACTACTTCTTTTCTGTGATGAAGACTAGGCAAGCAAGGAATATAATTGATTCTATTTTTTATTCTAATCAGGTGTTGCTTAAGGATCCAAATGCTATCTCTCATGAAATTATCTCTTTCTATAAGTCTCTTTTAGGGACTCAGGCTCCTTGGCTCCCTGTTGTTGACCTTATTACTATGCGGAGGGGTAAGCAGCTTAGTTCTGCTGCTCAGAGCTACCTCATTAGGCCTATCTCTCATGCTGAAATTGATGCTGGCCTTAAGGGAATTGATAACACTAAAGCTCCTGGTATTGATGGCTTTAACTCCTATTTCTTTAAGAGAGCTTGGCATATTGTGAAAGATGATATTTATGCTAGTGTTATTAATTTCTTTAATAATGGGATTTTGCCTAGGCAATGGAATTGTACAACTATTACTTTGGTCCCTAAAGTCCTTTCTGCTTCTCATGTTAAGGATTTTAGACCTATAGCCTGTTGTACTGTGGTCTATAAGCTCATTTCTAAAGTCATAACTGCTAGGCTTGCTGCTGTCATTGGTGAGGTGATTGATGATGCTCAGACAGGGTTCATTCCTGGCAAGCACATTGGTGACAATATTCTTCTTGCAACTGAATTGATCAAAGGATATGATCACAAATTTATCTCTCCTAGGTGTATGGTTAAGGTGGATTTGAAGAAAGCCTATGATTCGGTTGAGTGGGGTTTCTTGATCACTGTCATGCAAGAGCTTGGTTTCCCTCAGAGATTTTTTGATTGGATTTGGAATTGTCTTACTTCTGTCTCTTATTGTATTCTTATTAATGGTTTTCCTGCCCCCCCCCCCCTTTGAAGCTAAGAAAGGGCTAAGGCAAGGTGATCCTATGTCTCCCTTTCTCTTTGCTATTGGTATGGAATACCTCTCTAGATGCCTTGATGAGCTTAGGTTGTCTCCTGACTTTAACTTTCACCCTAGATGTGAAAAGTTAAACCTAACTCACATGATGTTTGCTGATGACTTATTGATGTTTTCTCGAGCTGATAGTGTTTCTGTTAAGCTTCTCTTCCAAGCCTTCTCGAAATTCTCGGGAGCCTCTGGGCTTTCTGCTAATCTTGATAAAAGTGAAGTCTACTTTGGAGGTGTCTCTGTTGAGGTTCAGAATGAGTTAAGGGAGCTTCTTGGTGTTTCTCAAGGCTCCATTCCTTTTAGGTATCTTGGGGTCCCTCTCTCTTCAAAGAAGCTTACTATTGCTCAATGTAGGCCTTTGGTGGAGAGAGTCACTGCTAGGATTCAAGGGTGGATGGCTAAACACCTGTCCTATGCTGGGAGGCTTCAATTGGTTAAGAGTGTGTTGTTTGGTATACAGACTTATTGGGCTCAAATTTTTATTCTTCCGAAGAAAATTCTGAAAGAGATTAAGGCTAGGTTCAGATGCTTTCTTTGGACTGGATCCTCTGCTCCTGCTAAGAAGTCTTTGATTGCTTGGAATAATGTTTGTCTTCCTAAAGTTTTTGGTGGCTGGAATCTGCTTTCTCTTCCTGAGTGGAATAAAGCAGCTGTCACTAAGTTACTTTGGGATATTGCTCACATGGCTGATAATCTTTGGGTTAAGTGGGTTCATATCTACTATTTCAAGCACAAAGATTATTTGACCACTCCTACCCCTGCTAGATGCTCCTGGTTCTTGAAGAAGATTTTGAGTTGTAGAGATATTGTGAATGATCAAGGGGGATGGGATGGTTTCGTTCAGGGCAACAAGTTGAAAATCAAGAAGCTTTATGCTGCTATTAGGCCTCAAGTGCCTAAAGTTCCTTGGAAGAGAGTTACTTGCCATAACTTAGCAACTCCCAAGAGTGTTTTCATATTGTGGCTAGCTTTATGGAATAAGCGTGTCACTAAGGATAGGTTGCTTCAATGACACATCTCTTGTGATCCAAAGTGTTTCCTTTGTCTGAATGGCAATGAAAGTGTTCAGCATCTTTTCTTTGATTGTGATTTCTCTAGGAAAGTTTGGAGTAAGGTTTTGGAGATCTTACGTGTTTCCAAGCCTGTTCAGCAGTTTAGTGATGAGATTGATTGGATGAAGAAAATCTGCAGAAGTTCCAGATTGAAGAATAAAGTGATCCAGGTGGCCTTCACTGAAACGGTTTATGGTATTTGGATTCAAAGGAATGCAGTTCTCTTTACTGGTTGTTGCAAATCAGTTGATGCTCTTGTTCGGGATATTGTCTTTCACTTAGTTTGTAGAATCCCGGTGGGAAGCAAATATTTGATCGTTTAGGGCTTGTCTCGGGCTCTTTGTGTTTTTGTTCTGGTTTCCTTGGTTTGGGTTCTGATACTGGGTTTCCCGTTGTTTCTTTTTGTATTGGTTTCCTTTTCTGCAGACTATTTCTGTGCTTTACTGTGCTTCTGTGTTGCTGCTGCCTGCGGTTTGTGTTGCTGTGTTGTTGGTGTGTTGCTGCTGATGTTGATGCAGTCTGTGCTGTTGTTTCTTTGCTGTTGTTTGGTTGCTGTTGTTGCTGATCTGCTGTTGCCTACTGTGTTCTGCTGCCTGCTGTGATTTGCTGTCTGCTGCAGTCTGCTGCCTGCTGTGCTGTCTGTCTGCTGCAGTCTGCTGCCTGCTGTGCTGTCTGTCTGCTGCAGTCTGCTGCAGGTGCTGCTGATCTATTGTTGCTGGTCTGCTTCTGCTGCTGCCTGCTGTGCTGTCCTGCTATGCTGTTTGCTGGCTGCTGCAATCTGCTGCTGGTTGCTGTGCTTGCTGCTGGCTGTTGTTGCTGGTCTGCAGTGCTTGTTGCTGTTCTGTGCCTCTGCTGCTCTACTGTGTGTTGCTGTGCACTGCTTTGCACTGCTGTCTGCCTTGCTGTTTATGCTGCTGTTTTGTGCTTTATTTTCTGCAGTTGAGGCTAGCTTTGGTTCCTTTTTTTTTTTTTTTGCTATCTTTTTGTTGTATTAGTTTTCTTGTCAGTTTGCCGGCTTTTCTGCTACTAACTGTTGGTTTTGGTGTCTTTTGGGTGTTTGGTTTTGCTGTTTTTCTGGTTGTTTGTTGTCTGGTCCTGGTTTCCGGAACCCTTCCTAGAAGGTGGCCGGAAATCTGAGTCCAGTTGTTCTAGATCCTTCCTAGAACCCTTCCTAGAAGGTGTAGGTTTGGATCTAGAACTGGTTGTGGGGTTGGCTTGTTGTTTTCAGGTCTTTTGGTGTTCTGGTGGTAGTTATAACTTAGCTTTTGTAAGTTGTAACTTTCTCTCTTTGGTAATAAAATCTTATTTTACAAAAAAAAAAAAAAAAAAAAAAAAAAAAGAGTCTACCTAGAAAGATAGGAATGGTAGCATCTTCATCCATTTCTAGTACAAAAAAATCCACGGGGAACACAAATTTCCCAACCCTCAATGGAACATCTTCCACTTTACCTTTTGGAAACTTGATTGACCTATCAGCTAGTTGCAAGGTAATGTTAGCAGGTAAGAGTTCCCCTAGATCAAGTCTTTGATAAACCGAATATGGAATTAGGCTTACACTAGCTCCTAAGTCACATAGGGCATTATCAATTTGCATCTTGTTAATAGCACAAGGGATGGAGAAGTTTCCGGGGTCTTTCAACTTGGTTGGCATTTTGTTCATGATGATCGCACTACAATTCTCAGTCAAGTTGACAGTCTCTACAACATCACAAGTCCTTTTCCCACTCAAAATGTCTTTGAGGAATTTGGCATAGTTAGGCATTTGGTTGTTCACATTGGTGAAAGGTAGAGAAAGGTGAAGTTATTTGAGTATATCAATAAATCTCCGAAATTGCTCATCCAATTTGTGTCTCATGAATTTTTGGGGATAAGGGAGCTTGGGTTTCACAATCTCTTTCTCTACTCTCACCTCACTAGGTATCTCAACCACAACCTCATCTAAAGATGCTCTATCTCCCTCATTCTTAACCAAAGCTTCCTTGGGGACCTCCTTGTCTTCACTCCTCCTAGGCAATCTCTCCTCAAGAATCTTAACAGTCCTTGTAACAATAGCATTCACGGGTTTCTTGGGATCTAGGCCTTGGGAAGGTAAAGAAGAAGGGCTTGCTTGGTCATTCAAAGCATTAGCAAGTTGAGAAATTTGATTTTCGAGCATTTTATTATGGGTCATCATCTCATTGAATTTCTTGTCACTAACGGCCATGTATGTGTTCAACAACTTGGTTTGATTTTCAATTATTTCCTCCAAATTGGTCCTAGAAGAAGAAGGTTGTGAATAGGAATTTTCACCTTGAGTCTTTGGAACAAATCCGGGTGGGGGACCTCTTTGAGAATTATTTTGAAAATTGCCCCTACCTTGATTGTTCCAATTACCCATATTTTGATTTTGACCATAACCTTGATTATGTTTTCCACTACCTTGGTTATGATTTCCATAATTTTGGTTTTGGTTTTGATTTTGACTACTATAACCTTGATTGTCATAGTTACCACGAGAACCTAGGTTCCCTTGGTTCCTATAACCACCACCTTAGTTATAGTTGTCAAAATTACCTTGGTTTTGGAAATTCCTATTCCATTGACCTCTTTGATTATCAAACCTTTGCACATTATTATTTGACACATAGTTCACATGCTCACTCTCATTGTTATCAAAATCATCACCACATTCCGGAGAAGCATGAGGGCAATTACAAGAGTCATGATCATAACATCCACATGCATCACAAAACAAGCAACCACTAGGCATATTATTTGAGGAGTGAGGGGGTTGAGAGTTAGAAAGAGTACCTCTCCCCTTAAATTGGGAGGGAAGATTCGAAGCTTGAAAAGAAGAGGAGCTTTCCAACTTGGCCTTGATTGCGGTCATTTCTTTTCCCAAGTTTGTCATTTGTGAGGATAGGTTGTTGATCGCATTTAGATGGTCTATAGAGTAAACCGAAGAGCCACTCTTGCTAGTTGAATCCCTCTCACCATCTTGCCAATCTCTATAGTACTTCACCACATCCTCAATAATGTCCACAATCTTCTTATGTCCTATTCATTATGGGACATCCGGCTCCCCCATCAAGGCATGATTTGCCTTGAGGACTTAGGCCACCATAGAAAATTTAAATGACTTGATAGGTTGGAATTCCGTGGTGGGGACACTCCCTTTGGTACTCTTTATACCTCTCCCATGCTTCGTAAAGGCTTTCATTAGGTCTTTACTTGAACCCTTGAATCAAAGCTCTAGCCTCCGTCGTTTTCTTTTGTGGGTAAAACCGGGACAAGAATTCCTTGGTGACTTCGTCCCATGTTCTTAGGAAGTTTGGCTTTACCTCCTTATCCAACCACTCCAAGGCCTGGCCTATGAGAGAAAAGGGAAACAAGTTTAGCCGGATGAACTCATGAGAAACTCCGTTTACATTGATAGTGTTGCAATACTTTTCGAACTCCTTGAGATAGTTCAACGGACTCTCATTCTTAGCTCCGCTATATTGTCTCCTCTCGATCAAAGAGATCATAGCCGGCCTAATTTCGAAATCATTTGTCGGTGTTGTAGGTGGAGCAATTCCACTCTCAAATTTGTACGCACCGGGAATTCCCAATTCTTTCAAAGCAACTCTTGGTTGTTCTCCCATGCTTAGTCTTCTTCAAATCCTTCTTCGCTTGAGGAACTAAACTCCAAGGATCGATTAGCAATTCTTCTCCTTGAGAGAGTCCTTTCGATTTCCGGGTCAAAAGGCACAATGGATCGATCACGAGCTCTATGCATGCAAAACTCATTGAAAATATTAGTAGCACGGCTACAAATGTAGCCTTAAGAAACAAAATCTTTTTGTATTTTTCAATTAAAGTGAAATAGACTCAACAACTAAAGCTAAGCACCAATATCACTCCCCGGCAACAACG